GTAGCATACTGCAGGGCCAGTTCATCACGTATGCTGTGTAGTAAACCGATTCTAAATTCTTGGTTGTGTATGGTGTCGAGCTCTTTGAGATGAGACTCGCCGGCAGACCACGCATAATCCAGTTTTGATCGAATTAATGCTCGATAGAATCGGACCAAGACCTTACGGTCTGTTCCCCGGTCAGTATTTGATAAGACTCGCAATATGTTGAGGGCTTCCAGACATTTATTTTGGAGGCTTTTAATGTGGGGGATAAATGACAAGTTCTTACTAAGTAGCAACCGCAGAAATTTGGTTTAATCCACAACTGGAAGGCGGTTGCCATCCAAGAAAAGTTCTGGATCAGGATGAAAACCACGTTTCTGACAGAAATGCATGCAGACAGTCTTGAATTTCGAAAAACAAAATCCATTTTCGGTTGCCCAATGTTGAAGTGAATTCAAACAAAGCTGCAACTTACGTTCGATTATCCAGATGTCTGTAGAACCAGAGCACATCTGAAAGTCATCAACTGGTTTAAGACATGCTGGGATAGTATTAATTTTTATCGCTAAAAGAGTTGGAGATAAAATACTTCCCTGTGGAACCATCATTTCCTAAGGAAATGGGTCAGAGTATATTGATCCCAGTCGTACCTTAAATGACCTATCTTCCAGGAAATTGTTGATGAAGAACGGTAAGCGACCTCGTAGGCCGAGGTTATGGAGTGGTATCATATGCTTTCTCCAGATAAAAGTTGCTTCTGGATGAAAGCGTCACTGACGAACGTTTCAAATCCAGCGAGTTGATCAAGAGTGCTCCGTTTTGAGACCGAAATCCACACTGGAGGTCAGTAATGAGGTTGTTGGACTCAAAGTACTAAACAAGCCTTCGATCGATCAATCTCTCTATGGGTTTAACAGCTAGTTAAAGCCATCGGACGATAGTTGGTAGGATTCGTATGATCTTTACCCGGTTTGACCGCTCTGTAGCATGTACCCAGGACACAAAGGTAAACCTGCTGAGCATGAAAACAACAAAGCATTGGAAATGTACATTCTACAGAGCTAAAACGACCAAAGCCGATTGGTCAGAGTGGGCCACTCTGATCTCCCGTCTAGGTGAACCATGTGCTAAATTAATGCGTTGGAGAGGAAGGACTCGCAAGCCAAATCCCCACTCAATTACCAGGATTCCACTCTCCACAGACACGGATCGCAACGCACGGCAAACACGCTACCCCATTACAGGGATTCTTTTAGTAGCCTTTTGCGACACGCACGACATACGAGGGCATTACCTGCTGGGCGGATTTTTGTTGTGTGAATTGCAAGGGTAAGCATTTTGCTTATTCTTGCGAATGTCCAGTTTGGCAGAAGGAGAAACGAATCTAACAAGTAATGTCTGAACGAAAAATCTCATATTTTGATACTCGTAAGCAGGTAGAACTTACTGAACTTTTTGCCGTTGCACCAAAAGGGAAATCTTTCTCCAGTGCAGTCAAAGTTTCTATTTCTGTTCAGACAGACTTAACCGGGCATGAAAAGGAGAAAATGCCTAAAATATTAACATCATCAGATCATAATAAAGGGGTATCGAGTTCCACTCAGACAAGTGAGAGCTCGATTCAAATTTCCAAATTCTTTGCCTGGCGAGGGTTCATCTTCCTTGCCTAAAGGATTATTCCTAACATTTCCACCCAGAACGGTACGGAGTCATCTCCCTCGCCTTCCCCTGAAGCTGTCACTCTTGATTCCAGTTCTACAGGGTCAGGCTCGCAGCCAAAAGGTATTCCACCCATACAAGAAAAGAAAGAAATTGGCAAAGATGCGCGCGAGAGAGAGAAAGGGGGTTCATAAAACCCTATCTCTCTCTATAATAGATATGGGGATGATCTGATTGACGGTATTACCATAGCGGATGTCCATAAAGACCACGTCGGTAAGCCGCCAAAAATTAACTATGCCTGACAATGGTCAATTCCATTATTCAATGGAATTGTCATGGTTCGAAACCAAATTTTAATGAAGTTCAACTTTTAATTCAAAAGTACAGCCCTTTAGCTATTTCTTTACAGGAAACATTCTTGCGCAATTTTGACACTTTGTCTTTTAGATATTTTGTTAGTTACCATCAATACTCAGCGAATGATGGTAGAGCTCATGGGGGTGTTTCTATTATTCTTAATGGAGATATCCCTCAGAGTCAAGTCACCCTCAACTCGCCTTTACAGGCAGTTGCAGTTAGGGTTACTTTGCATATTCCTATAACGCTCTGCTCTGTATATCTTCCACCATGTTTACATCTTAATCCCGGAGATCTTGATGACCTTGCTGCACAACCTCCTCTCCCGTTTATAATTACGTGAGATTTCAATGGTCATCATTCACTCTGGGGTAGTCCATATGATAACAACAGAGGTAAACAAATAGCGGACTTCATTAACCTTAATAATTTGTGTTTATTAAATGATGACTCGTCTACTTATCTACACCTTGCCACAGCTTATCCCCCCCCCTTTGTTCCCACCATTTGCTCCCCGGTCCTGTTTCAGGATTTTACATGAAGTGTAAATGAAGATCTGTGTAGTAGTGACCACGTTCCTATCTTAATTGATCAGAATGGTCCCTCTCCGGTCGAAAGACCTCAGAGGTGGAAGTTGCATAAGACTGATTGGGCTCTTTTTGATTCTTTGTGTTTCTAGAAGATGCAGATGAGCCCATGGCCTTATTCACTTTAATTCTACAAGATGTAGCTGATCAGGCGATTCCAAAAACCACGACTAAACCAAAACGTTTTAATAAACCATGGTATAATGACGATTGCAAATCCGCTTTGAAAGAGAGTGATCGTGTTTTGAGAATATTGCGGTATACCAAATGGTCCGAGCGAAGGCTCGTAGAACCATATGTTAAGCAAATAAATCTTCATGGCAAGGTTACATCTCAGTTGCCGTACCACATATAAGTCGGTATGGGATAGTATTCGTAGGATTAAATGTAAAAGTAGTGCTTTATCAGTTAACCATCGTAGGATTAAATGTAAAAGTAGTGCTTTATCGCGAGACTGATCGTGTTTTGAGACGACTAAAGTATCACCCTTCCATGGAGAATATTGTGGCATACCAAATGCGAAGGCTCGTAGAACCATATGTTAAGCAAATAAATTTTCATGGCAAGGTCACATCTCAGTACCCGTACCACATACAAGTCGGTATGGCTAGAGACCCAGAACCAGTTTAGAATCATTTCGTACATCTCCAGTGGATAGTTTATAAGTTAAGTCGAGGCACACGAGCCCTCATTGCACAACCGACGTGATAAAAACTGGCCCTGCAGTATGCTACGAAAATCTTTACCAAATCATATTCCGCTCAACACCATATTTAGACCCTATCATGAGCATTTATATCTGCTCAAGACTAAAGTTGTTACACCTTTCGGTATTCGCATACAACCCTTTTTTCGGAGGCTGGTATCAGCCTTTTTTGTGTAAACAATATTTTTTTCAGAAATTTATGAAAAGGGATCAGGGAACAGGCAAAGCCTATATTACCCCTCTACTCATACAAGGAATATAAAACATATAATATACAGATCTTCTATATACATATTATAACATAATGGTGAAAATCATATAAATTAAATAACTCATATACATACTATTTAAAACAAATGAAAAAAAAGAGGAAGTGCTGTTTTATAACATGATAAAGGGGGTTCTATAAATAGAATCAGATATTGAAGCGTCTGGTAACATCGAAGTATTCATGAACTATTTTAAAGATGTTATTAGATGTAGTCTGATTTTCTATGCCAAAAAGATTTTGGCTGGATTAGATTCCTATATGCCGCTAACGGCCATTGATAATTAAATCAAAAAAAGTGGATAATCGAGACTGCTGTTTATATTAATGATTTTAGTAATGATGACCGAGACTATGCAAAAATTTCACCCGCTTCTTTCTCGGCTCATAGTGGATCAATTTGACTGAAATTTTCAGCAAATCACCTTTACACTATCTAGTTTTTAACTATTATAGCGAGAACTGCCATCTCTTTATCTTATCTCCCATAATGTATCTTTAAGTCAAAGAGATTAATTGCGTTATGTATAAAAGTATTGTGTTAAAACATTCATATCGATATTAAAATCACCTAAGATAAAACATTTATTGGTATCATCATACATTGATCAAGTAATTGATTCGGTAATCTTATTGTTAACATCAGTGGTAGAGTTAGGGGCTCTGTAAAAAGTTCCTATAAGTAATTTGGTATTATTTGAATTGATTTCTAGCCACATGCACTCTGTACTGTCGATTTCTAGATCTAATCTTCGTTTAAAACTTAAATTTCTTCGGATATAGACTAAAACTCCACCCCCCTGTCTGTCTGTCCTGTCTTTTGTGATGGGGTCGTGAAAAGACGGAATAATTAGCATATTAATATTTATCGTTTCGTCAAGCCATGTATCACTTAGCGATATTATATCAAAATTATTCGAGAGTTCTGCTATAATTATGTCAATTTTATTTCGAAGGCTTCTTACATTCAGATGCACGAGAGATAATGTATCAGATGGACCGGGATTTACTTCGATGTCACCAGAAAGGAATAATGCCAACTGTGAAATATTCGGTTGATTAACGATTTGTTTTTTATCGATGTTACAATTATTTTTTAAGTTCGGTGTGTATGTCAAGTACATTGGGTAATGTGATATAGAATAATTAGAGCATGTTATATAGCACAACAAAAGGTAAAAAAAATATTTACAAGTAAAGAGTAGAGCAACATTAAGACGGTCTATAGTACATAAAAAAATGAATATAATATGTACATTTCTTGTAGACATGAAACAATATGACTGCGGGTATGGTTTAAAACATCAAGATATCGGAGCAGATTATGTTTTAAAATTACATATAGTAGTTTATATTTATATCTACAAAATGTAGAAAGTAAAATTATCTAATTGAAAGGGGAGCTATTTCATGTAACAGATGCGAATAATAAAACATGGAAAAGGTTTGGAAGACTGGACAACAGGAGACATCTTTGCACTCACAACAGAAGGGTCTATCAATCGAGACTATCACGTGAAGCCGCGTGTAAACAGATCAAGTATGGATTCGTGACTACGCCGTTAGAATAGGTGAGTAAATAGCAGTTGTTTTTATTAAATGATTTCTGTACTTACATATAATTAGTATGGAAATTGCCAGGGCTATATGAACAAATATGGGTACATGTTATGTCACAGTAGTGCTTCGATAAGCCCCATTCAACATAATTTGTGATGGTTCTGGTTTACCATTATTACTATTATACTATTCAAAAAAAGTAGGGGATATTTGATTTTGGGGGCATAATACTAAAATATGCAAATGACTACGAAAAAAGTCACTATAGAACCTAACAGAAGAAACATTTCCAGTTACATGTGACGCCCAAACGCACCAATAGCTACCGCATGGAATGCAGGTGATGCTTGGGATCATCATGGGGGTCCAACCCAAGATTTGCACGACTCTGACTTTGAATGTTACAGTCATTGTGGTATTGAATTCCAGGGTGGAAACATCAGTTTAATTGTTTTAGTGACCAGAAAACAAATTTTGATATGCGTCGGCTTACCCAAAATGAAAGGTTACGTGCCCTTGGCATGCTACAGATCGGCACAACACAGGCGGTTGTGGCGCGGACGATGAATGTTTCTCAGTCTGTCATAAGCAGGCTATGGTCCAGGTACCGTGATACACAATCTGTACAGGACAGACCACGCTCAGGTCGACCAAGGGCGACAACTCAAGCCCAGGATCGATTTATCCGTACCTTGGTCTTGAGAAATCGTGTCATCACAGCAAATCAGATCAGCGCTCGTCTTCAAACAGACACTGGTGTGAGAGTGAGTGGCCAGACGATTCGGAATCGACTGCATAGGGGTCACCTTCGCGCCCGACATCCTCGCGTGATCCCTTGTTTGAGAGATCATCACATTCAGGCAAGACGTCTTTGGTGTAGGGATCGTCAACACTGGGATAATCGACGCTGGAGCAATGTGATGTTTTCAGATGAGTCAAGGTTCACTGTTGATTTTTTGGACAGACGTAGGAGGGTGTGGCGTCGTCGAAACGAGCGCTTCCAAGACGTTAACGTCATCAGACATGATCGATTTGGGGGTGGTTCTGTTATGGTGTGGGGAGGCATCACTGTTGCTGGAAGAACGGCTTTACATGTTGTTGCAGGGCGTGTTACAGGCCAGTACTACCGGGACAACATCTTGGCAGTTCATGTTGTGCCGTTCGCACGACGTCATGGCCGCCGTTTCATCTTCCAGGATGACAACGCAAGATGTCACAGGGCCAGGATCGTTACAGGTTACCTCCAACAACAGAACATCACCACATTACCTTGGCCAGCACTGAGTCCCGACCTCTCCCCCATCGAGCATGTCTGGGACATGCTTGGACAGAGGTAACGTCAACGTCAACAACGTCCTGCCAATGTCCAAGAACTTGCTGCTGCGTTGCAACAGGAATGGGACAATCTGGACCAAAATGACCATAGACGTCTCATTAGGAGTATGCCACGTCGGATCAATGCTTGTTTGGCAAACAGAGGAGGATTTACCCGTTACTGACTTGGTTGTGATGCTGTGGTAACTTTGCTGTTTGACCCCGGGTATCATTTTACCCTTATAATGGTCAGTCTTTGCCTTACTTAGTCTAACGATCATTTGGAATAAATCGATGAATGTGAACTTCATTTCATTTTGTCATTTGTTTCTTCGTCAGTTTCATTAGGTGACTTTAATAACACTTAAAAATCAAATATCCCCTACTTTTTTTGAATAGTATATAATAGTATTATAATATTAGTAGGGCTATTATTATTGTTTAGCTAAGGTCCAGGGAATACTTACTTCTTGTTCAAATGCACACTAGGTTCTGGCATTTCATTATTAATATTTTCATGTATATTATAGATCATTATTTTCAGATAGATGGTGTGTAAATATTATGAAGATGTTTTTTTAATTTAGATGTTAAAGGCTTACTAACAGTATAGGTACTACTACTAGACTTGCATTGGTAAGTACTGATTTTATAATATAATTATCCACATTTAGTAGTACCATTGCTCTGCTCCAGCTTGGAAAATGTATTTAATGCTTTATACCCTAATTAGAATAATGTTGGTAAGAGTTGTCTACAGTTAGTGCATGTTAATTTACACCTTTAGCCTCCAGCATATAAAAAAAAAAAAAAAAAAAACAAACAAAAAAACATTGAGTCCATTACAGGTGATGCTTTCATGAGCCTGAATTCCCTATAAGACTTGAGTTATACATAATTGGATGTAATACACATCATACATGCTTTGCATTTTCACTTTCTTAGAGGGTTAATAGATTTGATGGTTGTCATATTATATACTTTGGTTAGTGACATATTAATTTTGAGCTATTCTATCAGACAAGTACATGTATATTGGTTACATTCATATATTTATATATTACTTTATTGATAAGGCCCACATATATTCATTCGTCAAAGTATTGATTAAAATACATACTTATTGATACATTACTATGTAAGTTGATAAGGTACATACATATATGATATATTTAGTATACTAATGAAGTGCATACATATTTTTATATTGCTATATTTATAAAGTATATACATATTGATATGATTCTATAGCGATGAAGGTCATACATATTGAAGTATTATTATAATGATAAAGTACCAGTACATACATAATGGAAGTTACATACATATATGGAGTATGGAAATGTATGTATATACACAGTTCAGACATAAACTCAAGCGGGGTCACAAGCGAGTAACATGGTGTGTGGGGTCCCATAGCTAAGACAAATAATGATCACAGTAGGTTTTGGTTCTTGCTATTAATGTGAGGGAAGTAGATTCTTGAAAGATGCATTTTCGAACTTACTTGAACTATTAGGTCCTTGCCTGCTAAACCAGGCTATTGACAGAGAAGATTGGGAGTCTTACTATTAGTGTGAGGGATCTCTGCAGAAGAAATGAAAAATGAGGGATCTCTGCAGAAGAAATGAAAAAGGCAGTTTTCAGACTTTCTTGAACTATTAGAGACAATCACATATGCAATACATTTAATGCTGTTTGTGCTGTTTAAAGGTCTTCAGTGATTTGTAGAGACAAGTCTCTAATAGAGAGCCAGTTAACATTAGATCTTGTATAATTAGATATTTAGCCTTAGCAAGCTAACAGGTTAGAAACTATTTTACCAGTTTGAAGACCATGCTTATTTATCAAGATGTTATATGGTGGCATATAATTTATGATACTGGTTAATTTCCCCTTTTTCTTTGGGGAAAGAAAAACAGTCCCAAAAAATACAGTGTAACAACATACTGTCAGTGCAACTTTCAACTAAAATCAGTGATATATTTATCATGTCTGATCAGGGCAAAGTACAAACTTTTCACCCTGTTTGATTAAGAGGGCTGATCTCAATTTTTATTATTATCAGGTTGTTTTAACATTAACTTATGCATATATATCTGTACAGGTAATTTAAAAGGTAAAGCAGACTTATCTGATTTTTATACACATCATTTACAATCAATATCTTTATATTATACACAATATGAGAATATCTGATTCAGAAAATAGAGGCGTCATAGCATATGATATAAATGTTACATTAATACAATCAGAAACTACAACATAAGATAATTCATATTAGTATAGGATCTTAATAAGTTAATGACTGTTATTTCTGACTCATCGAAACTAATTTTGTTGTCCAGTCTCCGAAGACACAACAAGCTAGATTTTGCAATAATCGTTTAGTCATTTAGCAAAATACCTGTCTTGCTGGGCCTAAATTCATGGTATTGTTTATGGGCTACACGGTTATAATACTTGGTAATAGATTTTGCAGTACCTACTCATTCTAAATAGATATGCTTTAAATGCTACAGTGAGTTATTTACATCTTTGGTCATATTTTTTATTCATAATATTTATAATGTATTTTATTAAAGGATACAATGGTTACTGGTGAAAATAATTAGCTGGTAATGCCAAGTTCATACTCTCGAAGTTCACTTGCTGACGGTACATATCCAGGTAAGTCTATTAATCTTCTTAGGAGCATTATCTTGCCTTGGACTTCTTCATTAGCTGGGAATAGGCAGATGAAAAGCTTACCATCAATAGTCCAGCACCCCTTAATATGTTTATCTTTGAAGGAGTTCCTGGCTTGTTTAAACATATATGCTCTGTGTTTTCTTAGGTCTTCATTTATGTAAATGTTTCCTGGAGATTGGTTTACCACCTTTTTGTTTATCATAATTCTTTTTTTGGTTTTGTAGGAGCTTAGCCTTGCTATGATCTGGCGGGGGAAAATTGATGATTTGGGACCTACTCTGTGACAGTTTTCAATATTGACAGATGTTAATCTGGAATGACATTTTCCAAGACTTGCAAGGTTAGTTGTTCAATATTTTCACCCGGTTTTTCTATTATCCCTCCAATCCTTATGCAATTTCTTCTTCCATATCATCACATTTTTCTTTTATTTCATAATGGAGTTGGAGTGTTGTAGCTGCAAGGTCATCCTTTAGTTTGTTGATTTCATTTTTCAGGGGATCAACAATTGTTTTAAGTTGTTGGCACAGGATATCCTGTATAATAGCAGACAACATATTTTGAATTTGGGGAAGGGTAAAGGCCTGTGCAATTTTGTCTGATAACCCAGATATTGATTTTTCAAGACAATCGCTGATGATATTTTCATGGAAATTTTGAGTTGATTCCTTTGATTGAGTCATGTCAGTATTGAAGGGGTCTGGCGGCGGGGGAGTACAGGGGAGGGTATCTATACTCCCTTCGTTACTGTCTTCAGCTAATGGTTGTTTACTGAAGAATGAGGAAAGGTCAACTTGTTTTGTCTTTTTTAGTAATTCTCCCGTAGTTGTTTCATATGACATATATTCCTTTTGAAGGTCTGAAGGAGACTGACTATTCATTCTTTTGTTCCTGGCTTTCTGGACAACAGCTTGGGTGATGGTGGGTCTGTGTTAGTGTTGTGGTCGGCCATTGTTGTTGACAGTATTGTAAAGAGTGATTTTAAAAATGTTCTTTTGTTTCTTACCAGAATGAATGAAGAAATGAGTCTGCAGTATGAACAGTATCTCCACTGCTCTCGTTGTTGGCAGATTTCTGTTGTCGGGTGAAACTAGCCGTACAGCTCAAAATAAAATGACGTCACAGCAGTGATAATTGTATGTTTTGTTGTTTTTTCACACAGAGTCGACACCAGTTCGTTTATTACAATCCCAGAAAAACAAATTTCCTCGCTCGATCAACAAGTAAACCCACTCTTATCAACTGATATGTTTAATACTACAGGGGATTGTACATTTATGTAGATATACTTATTTTACTAAGAGCTCCGATAACTGTGTCTACCTGCCTGTCGCCATTTTGATGTTTCGGAGGCTGGTATCAGCCTTGACATTATTGCGAATATCCCTTTCTTTAGGACTCCACCGTGGGCTTTATCTCTCAATCTCTATTTAGAGAGATGAGATCTAAGTATGGTGATTATGCTCATATTTACACAGATGGTTCTAAGGATGGTGATCGGGTAACTTAGGCTACCGTGACGCCATCTGAGACCATTTCTGTGTGTCTTCCACCTGCTGCTTCAATATTTACAGCAGAGCTCCAGGTCATTCTCCAGGCCTTGGAGTTCATTCAATCATCGCATCTACTACAGTACATCATTTTTACCGATTCTCTGTCCTCGCTGCAAGCAATAAACAATAAACAGCCTGAACACCCATTAGTAGCAGATTTTTATTGTCTGCTACTATCTTACGAGTTAACAGCAAAGACATCGTCTTTTGCTGGCTCCCCAGTCACGTTGATCTAAGGGGGGATGATCATGCAGATTTTGCTGCCAAAGCTGCTTTATATCTCCCCCAATCACCCTTTTTAATACCATATAAGGATTTGAAGCTCCAACAAACAATTTCATATATGGCCGTTGGCAACGATCTCGGGATCTTGCAGGCACTAACAAACTTCATCATATTAAGCCTCTCTTGGGAGATTGGCCAAACTGCTAAAGAACCAACAGGAGAGATGAGGTTGTTTTGTGTCGCTCTCGTATAGGTCAAACATTTTTAACTCACATTTTCATCTTAAAGCGAGTGCAAGTTTCTTAAGGACATCAGATCGGAGCATTACCGTTGCCAATCGTTAAATCAATTATTTGCCCAACCGTGTCTATACTAGACTTTTTAAAGGAGACAAATGTTTATAATATTTTTAATTCTAAATATATATACTATTCAAAAAAAGTAGGGGATATTTGATTTTTAAGTGTTATTAAAGTCACCTAATGAAACTGACGAAGAAACAAATGACAAAATGAAATGAAGTTCACATTCATCGATTTATTCCAAATGATCGTTAGACTAAGTAAGGCACAGACTGACCATTATAAGGGTAAAATGATACCCGGGGTCAAACAGCAAAGTTACCACAGCATCACAACCAAGTCAGTAACGGGTAAATCCTCCTCTGTTTGCCAAACAAGCATTTATCCGACGTGGCATACTCCTAATGAGACCTCTAAGGTCATTTTGGTCCAGATTGTCCCATTCCTGTTGCAACGCAGCAGCAAGTTCTTGGACATTGGCAGGACGTTGTTGACGTTGACGTAACCTCTGTCCAAGCATGTCCCAGACATGCTCGATGGGGGAGAGGTCGGGACTCAGTGCCTCCCCACACCATAACAGAACCACCCCCAAATCGATCATGTCTGATGACGTTAACGTCTTGGAAGCGCTCGTTTCGACGACGCCACACCCTCCTACGTCTGTCCAAAAAATCAACAGTGAACCTTGACTCATCTGAAAACATCACATTGCTCCAGCGTCGATTATCCCAGTGTTGACGATCCCTACACCAACGACGTCTTGCCTGAATGTGATGATCTCTCAAACAAGGGATCACGCGAGGACGTCGAGCGCGAAGGTGACCCCTATGCAGTCGATTCCGAATCGTCTGGCCACTCACTCTCACACCAGTGTCTGTTTGAAGACGAGCGCTGATCTGATTTGCTGTGATGACACGATTTCTCAAGGCCAAGGTACGGATAAATCGATCCTGGGCTTGAGTTGTCGCCCTTGGTCGACCTGAGCGTGGTCTGTCCTGTACAGATTGTGTATCACGGTATCTGGACCATAGCCTGCTTATGACAGACTGAGAAACATTCATCGTCCGCGCCACAACCGCCTGTGTTGTGCCGATCTGTAGCATGCCAAGGGCACGTAACCTTTCATTTTGGGTAAGCCGACGCATATCAAAATTTGTTTTCTGGTCACTAAAACAATTAAACTGATGTTTCCACCCTGGAATTCAATGCCACAATGACTGTAACATTCAAAGTCAGAGTCGTGCAAATCTTGGGTTGGACCCCCATGATGATCCCAAGCATCAACTGCATTCCACGCGGTAGCTATTGGTGCGTTTGGGCGTCACATGTAACTGGAAATGTTTCTTCTGTTAGGTTCTATAGTGACTTTTTTCGTAGTCATTTGCATATTTTAGTATTATGCCCCCAAAATCAAATATCCCCTACTTTTTTTGAATAGTATATATATCATCTTATTTTTCATTTTTCAATATTAGTGTACATGAAGTTGTGATTTTTATTTTTATTTGTTTAATATACTGTGACATTTGCTTTTATTTGTGTACATGAATTCTTTGTATTTCTCCAAGCGTTTTAGATTAATATATTACAATTTATATCGATTTCTTGTAATTTTATGACTTAATAATTCTATATATATATTTGATTTTCGAAATCACGAGGCAAATTTAACTAAACACCAGCTGTGTAGCACGTGACTGTTCAACGCATTGAACCAAATATGTCGTCTGCTACAGGCCACTAAACAAAAACCATCGGTTGCATCAATAGCCAAGCGGTCAAACAACTGGACCTAAAATAGACATATTATTTATATTTTCATAGCAACAGACGTTCAAGCAATAATCACCAAGTGCCCACAAAAGATCAAAATATCCATTTCAAACAATAGAAATAAACACCCACGGACACAATAGAGCAAAGACACTTCACATAATAGAAAACAATTATCATAAAATGCCCTAAATAGAAACACAGACGAAAGAAATAAAGTAGCCTCACAACTACTGTTGTCTTTGTCAGGCCCTCCGTCCTGCATCACTGACAAGGGAAAAGAAAAACGATCAAAGTCGGGTGGGAATATTTAAAGTAATCATACATGTACCTATCTTAATACGAATTCTAGATATCATGTTACGTATCACTAAAGAACTGGGCCCTGTTTCACGAAATTTTAACTAAGATAAAATCCAAATTTTAGTAGATACTTCAATTTTGATTGGCTAAGCACTAAAATCAATCTAATATTATCCAATCAAATTACTAAAATTTGGATTTTATCTTAGTTAAAATTTCGTGAAACAGGCCCCAGGTTCATGTTTCTTTTCAATTATTTAAATAATTTTCTGGCATTTCGGCGCAGAACAGTAGGACGTTAAACCCCATTTCATTTCATTTCATTTCATTTACGTGCACGATAAAGTATACACAGGACATCGGTTTTTCGTCACATCCAAACGACTAGACAGCTGTCCTTGTCAGGCCCTCTTTCCTGCACCACTGACAAGGTGAAACCACGTGGAAAAACAACGATATACTTTCTCGGCCAATGCAAGGATCGAATACGCGACCTACAGGCCATCCTCGGTTACCCAGTGTACTCATTCCGTTCTACTCCACTATACCCTGGCTTAATCCATAGGGTTTTCACGATTTCAAATTATCTGCCCTGGCCTAGAATATAGCTACAGTCTTCGAACCAATCAGAAAACAGTTTACAAACCAATCGTTCCGCCTTCCTTTTATAAGGGTAGATAACCATATTCATGTCCATTTACTGAATGATTTATGTAAATAATGTATATATGTATAATTTATTTATATTTAATTATATTATCAAAATCTGTAGTATGTGTTGTTGATTTCAAAGAACATCTATATGTTTGACTTTTGTTATTATTATTACTATTCGTATTTTGTCTGAAATATGTCATTCTGTTATGTTTATTATTATTGAACTTTTACTTGGCAATTTGATTCACAAGAACTTGTCTACGATATCACGTGGACATAAATTTCCGGGAACGACCGAAGGATTCTAAATAAAACTAATGACCCTACATTATTATATGAACGTCTGGTCTTCATTAACATAACATATAATTGGTTGTTAATAATTACGCATTTAAAATAGGCCAACTCCTAACATTGTCAGATGAGAGTTACTTCCCTTTGCAAACTTCCTTTTCAAATAACAATTTATGGGATTGGTCGATAAAAATAGCACAATCATCAAGGGCGGATAACTTCAAAACGTGTCTCCCCCATAGATTAACCCAGGGTATAGTGTAGTAGAACGGAATGAGTACACTGGGTAACCGAGGATGCCTACAGGCTAGCGAGCCAGCGTCTTCCCTACTTGCCCTACTTTGAAAAAAGGATAAGAAGATTAATGTTGAATTGAAGGCGAGGGGGGCGGGGGGTCGAAGGCTCGGATTAGCCATACCGAGCGCATGATTTCACAGACGTCATGGTCATCCAGCTAATTCGCTCTTATGGCATGGTTAGTCGACTCATTGTATGCCAGCTTGATCTCTGTCCATTGACCTTGTAGATTGATCGCCCAAATTATTAATTTCCGTCCTAGTCCGGCGGACTTTTTTCTATATGCAAATTAGTTTCGTCGTAGATCCCATATAAGGTATATGTTCCAATATGCTAAGTTCTATTATGCATTTTGTCTATTATGCATAATGCAGAATGGAGAAGTGTAATGTGCAAAATAACTATTATACTGTATTCAGTATAATTGTGAAACATACGTATTTTGAACTGATAGCATATGTAATTTGTACAGTGAACAGTGAAATAATATTGGCAACATAAATACGAACACACCCTGACAAGGACAAAGTCCACACGTATTGAAAAGCTTTAATATACTACAGTCGTCACATATAATTAAAATGGATGCTGAAGATTCAAATAGTATATTAACGATTCAGATAGTATACTAAACTCTTTTATAGATGAAGAATCGCTAAATAAGATCGTAGATAAAGCTGTTAAATCGGCTGTCAAAGATATGAAGAATGGTCTTGTAAAACTGATCAGTGACCGTCTAAATTGTATCACCGATAGGGTAACTGAAGTTGAACTTACACAAAATAACGGGGGGTTGGATATCGGAATGGTTAGCACGTGCGCGCTGTATCATACAGTCTGTCATTGAGTCAACTGGCGTTGTTTCGATTCCCCGGTTGTACGGGGTCGCCTGTCAAACCTCGATTACCATATTTGGCTTTCTTAAACTTAAATCAACCTGGTACGACCCCCTTAAATATCACACAACAAATTATATCAGTATTCATATATGTATGCATTTTGTACATTGTTGAATACCAAATAGAAAACAAAATCGGTTAGGTAAATGTCTATTTTGTAAATGTTGTTATTACACTGACAAAATGCTTTCGAATCACAAATCTAGGTCTCACTTAACCAATAACATAAAAAATAATAACGTCCTCCATTACACTTATTACTAGAAACTTATAACGCTGGAGCCTATAAGAATCCTAATAACAACAATATACATTTTCTTTTAAATATTACTCATTAGTCATAATATCCATATAGTTTACACATGTTTTCCTATTTTTGCTGTTTACTTGGGTCATTTCTTTTTGTTGGCTTAATTTGTTTTTTAGTTTACTTTTGTTTTCCTTTATAAATCGACATGAACTACAGTATTGATTTATTTGTACATATTTATTGTTTAATATTTACGTTTACGTTAATTTCCTTTGTCCCCTCTTCGATATCCATTAAAGGTTATCAACATCTAACGCACTACACGTATTACATGACCATCCTGCTACCAATTCTCACCACTTTTCATAGTGCAGTCACTTAAATATTTTGTACAAAAATATGGTGTAAGTGGTAGAACTTATATTCTCGTAGTTGTCTACCTTAATTTTATTGAAAACCGCACCCCGCTTCATATACTTATTTCTTTCCAGCATTTATTACTGGTATGTGGAGATATTCATTCAAATCCAGGACCAAGAAAAAATATTTACTAAATTCATTTAATAACCAGAAGTCTTAAACACAAGTTAGATCAAATATCCTGTGAACCAAACGGACATGATATTCTAACTTTCTTAGAAACGTAGTTCGATGCTCCAACCTCACCCTCGGACGTTAGTATAAGTGGCTGTCATCCCCCTTTGTTTGTGAATAGGGAAGGTTGTAGAGGTGGGGATCTGGCAGTGTACGCCAAGGCCTCATAATTAACAAACTTGAAGCTGTGTGGATCGAATTCATACTCAACAGTAATACGTTTCTTGTGGGTATATTCTATCGCCCTCCTGCACCAAAGACTGGGTATTAGAATCTAATTGGAGATAGTTGTATCTCTGTCTCCGACCTTAATACTAGGTGAATTTAATCAAGATTTCCTTCCATCATCAAAGATAAGTAAGGTACATGGAATAATACATAGATCCCACTCGCATTCAGCCAAATTCTTCATCATTAATTGACCTGGCTATTGTTAGTTACCCTGACGACATAAAAGAAGTTCATGTTTTGGAATCTGGTATCAGCCACCACTGCCCTATAGTTTTCCAGTTATATGTCAGTAAACCTCATTCAAACTGTTTTCTGAGATATGAAGAAATAAATGCCGTGGACTTCAACAATTTCATTGTGTCCTAGGTCTGGAATTCTTTATTCGAGACTGAATCATGTCTCCACAAGCAAACGGAAAAAGTGACTGAGGTTATCTTATCTGGAGTTCATCAATTTGTGCCAAACATAGTCGTAACAGTAAGACAAAACGATCCCAAATGGATGAATGGAAATATTCGTCGACTTATTCGTTGTCGTAACAGGGTCCATAAAAAAACTTAAATATCAAATCTTCCATACGATGGGCTTGATTTTTGAAAAAAAAGAAACCACGTGAAATACGAAAATCTAAAAGTCAGTATTACTCAAAGCTTGATGATAAGATAAACGAAAATAAATTTGGTGATTCCAATTGGTGGTCTTCGGTAAAAAAAAAAATATTTCTTTCAAGAGAGGTAACTCATCCACGGAAATTCCTCAATTAAATTCGAATGATACGATATATTTTGAAAATGCAGAGAAAACGAATGGTCTAAATGATTATTTCATCTCGCTGTGTACTGACACGTTTAGCCCACTCCTTGCCAAATTTATCTGGAAGGAAATTTGCAATTTGCTGATATCGAAGGGAAGGTACATGTCTTTCAATTAATAGTAAAAAATCAATTGGGCCGGGCAACATTAACAATTTTATTCTGTAATATATAGCCCTTTCTTTGAAATATCCTCTTCATCGACTGTTTCAAACACTGTTTGATGCATCTATATATCCGGATTGCTGGAAAAGAGACAGTATTGCCCCCATCTACAAAGATAGCTTGCCAGGCAACGAAACATACGCCCACAACAGCTAAGTCGTCCGAGGAGTCAAAATAATGCATTTGATATTCAGATAAGTTGATATACAATAATTATTAGAATTGGCCAAACCATGGCAACCTAACAACAACACACACAGATGTTTATAGGTGCTTTTATGTAATATTCTTTAAAATATGTGAAACTATCTACTAAAAGTCGGTAACCATATAATGTATACTTCTGTGAATACCTAGTAAATATATAACGAAGATCGGGAAAGGCCAAACCATGGCAACCTAATAACAACACACACAGATGTGTATAGGTGCTTTTATGTAATATCTACTATCTACTAAAAGTCGGTAACCATATAATATATACTTCTGTGAATACCTAGTAAATATATAACGAAGATCGGTAAAGGCGTTAGCTTGTACGTGAGTTATGTTTTATAAATTAAAGATGTTGACCTATTTATAGACTGACAAGCATAGTATATTGTTATAGTATCGTGTGACTGTATAACTAGCCTGGGAGTTAAAGTGACACACGCGTTTAAAATAAAAACCTTAAGAGAACTCATACTACTACAAAAATAATGTCTTCTGGCACTAGGGGATCGTCTAAGAAAGTATATACTGATCAAAGACGACAAAGCCTAACTACTGGAGAAATGACAGATATGAATAATAAACTCACAATAATGAAAAATAATATGTTAACAAAGGATGATATCAAAACAATAGTCAGTGATATTACTAGTTCTGTCTTGCTAAGCTTCAAACAAGAATTTAATGCAATTCACGAAAAGCTTGATACTACACTAAAAGAAAATGAACTTCTAAGGAAGGAAAATGATAAACCAAGGGCTGACTTTAACGAATTGAAGGAAACGAGCGAAACTGAGCGACAGAGAATAAATGAGGCCATAAGAATGGCGAATTATAACGAACAATATTCTCGCAAAAACAATATCCGAGTATCAGGCATACATTTTCCTGACAGTGACGAATCTATGAAAGAAACATTCACGAATTTTGTTCACAAATATATTGGAGTTTCGGTACCACCCACAGACATAACGGCCATTCACCCCCTCCCTTCCAGAAGTTTTGATAAACCTGGTCTGATATTAGTTAAAATGTCAAATTCGGAATCAAAACGAAACTTAATGATGCACAAGAAAACGGTAGCTGAAAAAAACGTGAAATTTACTGACGATATTACTAAATCCAATCTGAGTTTGATGAATAGGGCTAATAACAGGGACTGTGTAGAAAGATCGTGGTATTACAATGGTCAGGTTTATGCGAAATCTAAAGGAAGGGTAAAAATTAAGATAACTTATTCGAAAATTTTCGAGTCAGCTCATGTCGGCCCCTTTTGATCAAAGAAAGCAGTCTATGGATCTTTAA